CGCCTATAAAAACAGACTCAGGCCGACATAGACTGACATGTGTCCTAGAGTGAGGACCGTCTACGCACTGCCACGGCCCCACCCCTGATGTCACATCCCCATCCCCAAAGCCACCAGTCTGTAGGGCCAACCAATAGACTGGAATCTCCCTGTGTGGTGGTGCTCGGCCTCCTTGCAGGACTGGACCTATGGCTGATGTTTCAGCACCCCCCAAAACCCACCAATCCTCGAACACTTTGTTCCCCCAAGACCTTGTCTTTATGGTGCCCCCTTTTGCTGGGCTTTTGAGGGTGAAGAACACAACCCTCACCTTCCCAGGGATTACCTGCTCTCATCTCAGCCTGTTGCAATTATTTGAGTTGATAACTGGCTGGCACTCACCCAGAGAAGACTCAGGGCTGGGCTTGTTTTCCAAAACTGGCCCTTTTGTTCAGTGTGCCCATCTACTTCCCAGAAAGGACTTGTGGACAGGCAAGCAGGACCACCCAGTCAGGGACTGCGGCAACTCCCCTGGGCTGGCTGGCACCCAAGTGGGTGCCTGACCTTAAAGGCAAGGCCAGTGTCAGGCTTGTTCTGTGCCCAGGCCTGGATCCAAGCCCCAGGACTGCCAGTCAGTATTTGTCACAAGCCTGGACAATTAGCTGGACCACATTTTCCAGATGTATGGCACAGATAATGATATCTGTATTTATTGAATATTTAGTGTCTTGCCAGGGACTGAGCTAAATATATAAATTTGCTCATCCGCCCCCGCCCCGAGACTGTCCTTACCTCCGTTTTACAGGTGAAGAATCCAAAGTTTAGAAAGGCAAAGTTGCTGTCCAAAGGCACACAGTCAGCAGGCGGTGGAAGCGAGATGTGAACCCACATGTGCCTGACTGGAGCCCACACATTTATTCTGGCAGCATTTGCTGGTGGAGGCTGCAAGAGGATGTTTTGCAAAGCACCCACATTTAAGCTTTCCCATCTGTTGCCAGAAACATTCTGCAAGCATGCTGAGGCAAAATGGTCTTCCTCCTTCCTCCTTCCGAGTCAGCAGGTGGCCTGGCCCACTGCAATCTGGCAGAGTGGGCCCCAGGGACAAGACTCCAGCCTCAGACCACTCATGGCTTTGAAAAAGACAGTGGCCAAATGGGACACAGGGGTCCACGTGCCTGCCCTTGGCCCAGTACGTTCGGAGAAGGAGCAGGAAAGAGAAAAACATGCATCGAGCACCTACTATATGGCTGGTAAGTCCTGAAACATGAGAGAACAAAGTATCTAGCCTGGGCCTGGCACATTTCAAGGGATAGAAGTTTCTTCTCCCTCTTTCTCTCTCTCCTTTAAGGATATCTTAACAGGTGGCACAACATAGTTGTTCCCAGGCTACAAAGTCAGACAGACTTCAGATTTGGGGGTGGAATAGAGGATCCAGCTCTGCTACTTGCCAGATGACCTTGGACAAGTTATTCAACATCATTGAGCTTCTCACTGTTAAATGACGGTTCCAATGGTACCAGCATCACAGAGTGTTGAGAGAACTGAGTTAACAGATATAAAATGTTTGGCAAGGGCCGTGCACATGGACAGCACTCAATAAAAGTTAATTATCATCTTCCCTTTCCTCAGCAGTTCCATTCTGTCATATCTGTCACTGACCTGACCCCTCCAAGTCCTATTTCTACTTGTTTATTTCTCTTAGTCTCTAAGCTTGTCTGGCTTCAATCATTCCTTCACAGCTGATCACCCTAAGACCCTCTGCCCTTCTCTCGGTCCTCATTTTTGGGGGAGGTAGCACCCCATACTTTATTACACACCACACCTTCTCCATCCCCAGCAGGTCCTGCTGGGATTGGGGGGCCTGGGCCCCATGGGCTCCCTGTTGCTGTTGGCAGTGGGCGTATACAAGATGGTGAACAGGGGAGGTGGCCTTGACCCTACTGTTCAGAGAGATGGGCAATTGCTTACTTTCTCTTTGCCATGGTTTTCACATCTTGATTATCTTGAGATGAAGATCCTGATGGCCTTTTAAGTATTTGATCGGGCTCCCCAGTCCCAGCAGGACCTGCTGGGTAATTTCTCAAAGCTTGGGTCCTGCTTCTTCCTCAAAACACAAGTTGGACACTACTTTGGACATGGTGGAGGGCTGTCAGGCCCCTTAGTAAGCAAACACCCCAGATCACAGATGGGGACACTGAGACCCTGGGGAGAGGCCACCTACCCAGAATCACTGCATCTTAGAAGTCCTGCCGTGAGAGGAGCCGCAGGTCTCCTGACTTCTTTCTCGACCTTGTACAAATGAATTGAAAGCCAGTCTTTATCATCAGAAGACCTGGCTCAAATTCCAGTTCTGTAATCTACTTATTGTGTAAACGGGGCAAGTGACGCACCTCTCCGTGTTTGTTTTCTCCTACGCAAAACCGGGTGATGTAGCCCACTTTCCAGGGTTGCTATGCAATGGAGGTGAGGGAACCTATAAACATCCCCTCCCCCGCTGGCTCCCTGAAATCTGATTCCCCTCTGGATCCCACCCCAAGAAGTGCTCAATGCACCACGGTGTTCCAAAAATATTCGTCTGGGGATTGATGGGTAGGGTGGTGTGGATACTAATGCTAGCCAAAAACAAGCCAAATTTTAGAGCAGAAACATGGAGAGAGAGGAAACTGATTCATCTCACATAGCAACTCTTTCTCAATAGGACCATCTGAAAGGAGCCTTTTAAACTCCTCAGAATTCCTGAAGGGTGCAAGATGGCAAGAGCTATCAAGACAGATCAGGAAAGGTGGCAGAAAGACCGAGACCACTTCGGAAACACAACTGAGTATACAACTTTTTGGCACAAGTAGTTCCAAAGGAATCCCCAGCTTTGAGATGGAAGACTGGATCCCATGTTGGGGCATGCAAGGGTGTACAAATAGGGTGGACACACACACACACATGCGTGCGCATACACACACACACACACACACACACACACACACGCACACACACCCCTACCTACCTTTAAAATGCTCCAGAGTCCTTCCTCAAGCTTGGCTATGCCCTTGGGGTTGAGAATCCTGATGGCTCCTGCCAACTGTTCATTCATTCATCCACCGTGTATTTGTTGGACCCTCCTTGAGCCAAGCCCTGGGCTAGAGTTGAAACTGCATTGGTGACCATGAGCAACATAGTCCTTGTTTTCATTTGTGACTTAGACAAAAACCAATAGTTAAAAAACTAGCCACCAAGGTTGTGGTATCTTTTTCTATCACCACTTGTGACACCAAATATGAGGTTTTCCATATCAACAACCAATTCTCCAATTCTCCAACACCAACTGGGTATCCAACAATTCATCTCAATTCGACACTAACTCTTGGAATTAGTGCAGAATCTACAAGTTCAGGGCTCAGAGCCACAAGACTGCCCCCACTTCAGACACCAATTGCAAATCCTAGGGCCACCCATACTTCTGACCTACAAGCTATAAATTTAGGAGTTCCCACACCCCCTCCATGGGTTCTAATTTGCTAGAAAGACTCAGAGAACTCAGAAAAGCACTTTACTTAGGATTACCCCTTTATTTAAAAGGATACAATTCAGAAACAGCCATGTGGGAGGGACACATAGGACAAGGTATGGGGAGCAGCATGGAGCTTCCACGATCTTTCCCAGCACACCACCCTCCCAGCACCTCCATGTATTCGTCAACCCAGAAGCTCCCCGCACCCTAGTGTTTAGAGATTTTTATCATGGTTTCATTATGTAGGTATGATTGATTAAATCATTGACCACTGGTGATTAGCTCAATCTCCAGCCCCTCTCCCCTCGGTAGAGGTTTGGGGATGGGGGAGCTAAAAGTTCTAACCCTCAGATTAAGTCTTGGTCTTTCCAGCAATCAGCTCCCTTCCTAAAGCTATCTAGGGACCCCCAGCCATAAATACAAAAGACAATCTTATCACTTAGGAGCTCTGTGCCAAGAACTGGGGGTCAATGACCAAATGTTTATTTTGTATTAGACCAGAAGGGGCAAAATCTCGGAGCTAAGAAAACAGGTCCAAGAGCTCCTAATCCAGACTGGGATGACTCCCCGAGAAAGTGTTAACATTTCTGGCGAGATGAAAAAGTAAAAAGGAGCCAGACAGGAAAAGCAGGAGGGCCCTAGGGACAGCAGGAGCAGGAAGAGGGCAAGAAGGGTTAAAGTTCAAAAAAGTTATAAATTCATTAGAAGTGGTTGTGAGTACCCTGTGTTCCTGCTCATTCCTACTGTGATCACCTGCTTCCCTAATAGCCCCTAACCCCAGCTGGAAGCTTCTCAAGTGCAGGGGACTAGTCTAGTTTAGTTTTGTTTTGTTTCCCGCTGTAGGTACCCCAGTGCTTACATGGCACTCAAAAATATGCATTGATGAGTAAACAAATTGATGCATCCTGTACAACCAGCGGTGTCACACGGCTGCCCCAGAATTGGAAATTCCGCCATTAAACATCATTCCTGGGAATTAAGAAATTCTCTTATGGGGAGCAAGAAAATAGTAATAATCTCAAATTACAAGTGCTTGGGGCTTAAAGCTTATCAAGAGCTTTCCTTTACACCCTGTGAGTTAACAGACAAAGGAAAGGAAGCTTTGAGAGGTGAAGTAACTCAGAGTCACACGTCCAGGATGTGAACGCAGGTCTCTGGACTCTGGGTGGGGGTTATGGGGTTTCTCTATACAGAGCGCAAGTGTGTGCATTCTATCAGGACCAGGCTCTGGGAGGCAGGGCCAGACAGGCAGGAAGAGAGAGAGAAAGGCTGGGGTTCAGTAGCTGGCACTCGCTGAGCTGCCCAGCCAGCTTCATGCTAAGCTATTAACCTGCTTCATCTTCATAGCAATCCTCCCTGGGTAGCCCCAGTGCTGGGCACTGCATGTCACCTGCGGGAAACGGGTGGAAGGGAGTGGAGGGGACAGGAGAGAACAAGCAGTGAACTCAGCAGTAAACGGCTGAGAGCTGAGAGCCAGCCAGGCAGTGCCACCCCTCTAGGGGAGGAGAAAGGGGCTGGGCCACTGACCAGAAGCGGCCTAAGGCTAGAGAGGCCAGGCCAGGCCTACAGTGTGGACACAAGACAGAGGTGAGTCAGGCAAGCCGGGCTGAGGGTCAGGGGAGGTACTGGGAGACCTCTGAGGACTGGACCACCTGGGCGATGGCCTTCCCCGCAGCTCCCGGTGGGGTGACCAAGCACTGCTTTCTTTCATTTGATACTTGTTTACTACACAGGACCTTTCAGCCAGGCCCTGTGCTAAATGTCAGAGCTACGGCATGAATGTGACAAAGATCCCTGCCTTCTTGGAGTTCACCATCTAATGAGGGAAGATGACAATTAACAAAAACATAATCGATAAGTAAATTGTCTTGTATGTTAGGACAAGTGAAAAGAGAAAAATTAGCAGAGTCAGAG